TAAACAAATCAGCTGTGTTCATTATCTAAAACATGCAGGAAACGTGCTGAGCCAGACAGCAGCGCCAGGTATGTCAGCTCCATTTTTTTCTAAGTCCAACAGACTGGACAGGCACTCTGAAGTCGCAAGTGGAATCATCTGGCCACAGGGGGGATAGGGACTAGGTGGCCATTCATTGACCTTGTAAAGGGTCATTTTAGCACATAAAAATATGAAAAAGTTACTATTACTGTCGTAAACAACCCTGCTGTAACAACGAGCTAACACTAATATGAACCAACTAATACTACAATAAACCACAAAGTAAAACGTAGCAACAAAGCCAGGCCACCATCACTCCATGATTTTGTAGCCTCCTTTAGCTCCCTCAAACTAGTGTAGGCCATTCCGATGTTTTTTGCTCTTTGCTTCGCCTTCAATGACATTAATTTACTTTTACTTCCAAGCCCCGCCATGATGCCAACATAGAAGCAAACTTCTTTTTTCGTCTCCTTGTGCTTTTTATTTGATGATCAGCAAACTAAAAAAAAAAAAGCTAACTGCCAGCATAACAGCTAATAGTTGTGAAGCAGGTAAAGAGCTCCCCCTATAGGGCACCTACCCACTCCATTACTGTTAAGTGCAGTATCTGGTCAGCAGAGGGCTGCAAAGTGGTGTCAAATATCAAACTGGTCGGGTTTCTTACTCATCAATCACTGAGGTCAGGGTTCAAATTACGGGGTAGCTAAGGAGAGCCTGGCTCCCCTGAAAGCCCTCAGCTTATACAGACAGGGGACCCCAGAAAAAGATCCTGTCTACTTATATTACATTATTTATCTGGACTCTCAGTGTACCGGGGATTCTTTTGAGTGGAGAGGACGGAGAGCGCTGATTGTTGATGCCCTCCAGGCAGCTGCATCCTGCGCAAGGCCACGGTAACATTCTCTTAAGTGGCGCCACACCTCAATCGTACCCCGACTGAGAGCAATGTTAAAGCTCTAGTTGAAACTTAAAAAAAAATAATTATGTTGTGTTGTTTTAAAATGCAGATGGACTCCAAGGTAGTTTGACACTCAATGATTATTGATAATTAAAGAAAAGATGAAAGTTTGAATTTAAGTAATGATGGGATTTTTCAAATTTACATTGACTAATCAAATCTAATGTAACTTTTTTGTGTAAATTGATCAACCTTAACCATACTCATTAATTTAAGTTCTATTTATTAGTTTTATTAGTTATTACTTCCTATATCAATCTGAATTATAGACTATGTCAATGCTGGTTTAAAGATGAGGAAAGACAAAGAGCTACTCTATCAGGGTCCTGACACACACACACACACACACACACACACACACACACACACACACACACACACACACACACACACACACACACACACACAGATCCTGCAGTCAGTGTCAGCCCCCTGCTTTTCACACTGAGCCCTGAGGAGGTGCGGATTGCAGAAGCTCACAGTGAAATGTTTTCTTTTTTCTAGTATGATTGCACAACTTTTTATTCTCTTTTTGTTTGTCTGGAGGGCAAAGAGGAAAAGAGAAAAGGGTTTTAGGAAGAAAAAGAGAGAATGATGATTGAAAAAAATAGACACTAGAAATAGATATGTTGAGGAAGACGGAACACACAAAATATGCACTTTAAAGTCTCCACGGTCACGTGGAAGTTGTCATCGTCGTCATCTTCCTCCGCTTATCTGGGTCCGGGTCGCGGGGGCAGCATCCCAACTAGGGAGCTCCAGACCGTCCTCTCCCCAGCCACCTCCACCAGCTCCTCCGGCAGGACCCCAAGGCGTTCCCGGACCAGATTGGAGATGTAACCTCTCCAACGTGTCCTGGGACGGCCCGGGGGCCTCCTGCCAGCAGGACATGCCCGAAACTCCTCCCGAGGGAGGCGTCCAGGAGGCATCCTGACCAGATGCCCAAACCACCTCAACTGGCTCCTTTCGATCCGGAGGAGCAGCGGTTCTACTCCGAGTCCCTCCTGAATGTCCGAGCTCCTCACCCTATCTCTAAGGCTGAGCCCGGCCACCCTACGGAGGAAACTCATTTCGGATGCTTGTATCCGCGATCTCGTTCTTTCGGTCATTACCCAAAGCTCATGACCATAGGTGAAGATTGGGACGTAGACCGACCGGTAAATCGAGAGCCTGGCTTTCTGGCTCAGCTCTCTCTTCACCACGACAGATCAGCTCAGCGTCCGCATCACTGCAGACGCCGAACCAATCCGCCTGTCGATCTCCCGATCCCTCCTACCCTCACTCGTGAACAAGACCCCGAGATACTTAAACTCCTCCACTTGAGGTAGGACCTCTCCCCCGACCCGGAGTTGGCAAGCCACCCTTTTCCGGTCGAGAACCATGGTCTCAGATTTGGAGGTGCTGATCCTCATCCCAGCCGCTTCACACTCGGCCGCGAACCTACCCAGCAAGAGCTGAAGGTCAGAGCCGGATGAAGCTAGGAGGACCACATCATCCGCAAAAAGCAGAGACGAGATTCTCCTGCCACCAAACTCAACACACTCCACACCACGGCTGCGCTTACAAATTCTGTCCATAAACGTAACGAACAACCGGAAATTTTAAAATAAAATATTTCAAAGTGCGATCGAAGCCTACATATTCATGTTTGTGTCTGAGTTAATTGCTTTTATTGCTTTTTGGCACAAAATCATCAGAAAATCATCTAAGGCGGTTTTCCCCTTGACCCTTTAAAGACTCGTCTCACCAAAGAGAGCCATCTTTGACTGATGTGTTGCAGCACCATGCGCTCAGGAGAATTACCTGTGTGCTCTGGTGTATTGGTTCAACACATGAAAGATTCACCTTGATCACACAACAAAGACAACCACTCTCCTCAGGTTTGCGCTGCTGTTTGAAGCCGTCAAGGTCAGAAAAAGGGACATATGAAAAGATTGACAGCAGAGGAACAGAACAAAGAAGAGTAAACAGAGGTTGAGGCTGACAGCTGGAGGGAGACGTCCACAGAGAGAGAGAAACCCGAGATCGAATATAAGATTGGAGAATGGTTTTATCAGCATGGCTGATATTTGTCTTTCACTGTTTCAGCACAACTGTCACAGGAGTAAAGGTTATCTCAATAAAAGTACAGAAAATAGAAAAATCAGATTTCAGTGAAAGATGGAAATACGGAGATTGGAGAAAGGTTATGTTTTCTAATAATTCAGCACAAATAGCTAAGAAGAGAAGGGCTGTGACTGAAACACACCATGGGAAGCTGCTGCCGGACCTGCTGCTGATCCTCTCCTTGTCCATCAAAACCTAGCCTGACGGCTTCATTTAGCCTTTTTCTCTGTTTCACACTCAGCTGTTATTGTGTCTTTTCATCTGTTCTAAACCTGCGTGTACTCCCATTATGTCTTCTAGATATTATTATTGATGCTTTACACAAAGCTGACTTTGGTTGCCATGGAGACCAAGAACCTTCACCACTTGTGCTAAGAAACATTTTTAACTCGTAATATCACTGAAGATGGCTGTGAGGGGGTCTGAGAGGGAAAAAAATTGATTTATTCATTTTGAATTGAAGTGACTTCACACATAAAACATGGAAAACATGCTGCAAATTGTAAATTAATCCATTCATAACCAGTTTGTGGTCGTAAGAGGGTAGAATGCCTCCTCGGGGTCAGGGATGAGGTCCTGCCCCAAGTGGAGGAGCCAAGTATCTCGGGGTCTGGGCCTCTGCTTAGGCTGCTGCCCCCGTGACCCAAGCCTGGATAAGCTGTGGAAAATGGACATATAACTGGTTTATTCTGGAATGAATCCCACTTCATACTTAAAGAAAATCTGAACCAACTAAAGACTAAATGTCACATGAGCACATGGCTCGACACCGTGGCGGTGGTTAAACGGTGGAACCATTGTTTGACCAATGTCTTTCTTGCCAGTACTGTAAGTGTAACCTCAACCACACAACACCAAGTGTATTGAGGTGGGCATTGTTAAGCTTGGTCATCTGAGGATCATCTGGTCTGAAGCCCTGAGTGAGCTGACTAACGTTAGGTCCTCCAGAGTCGGGGCGATGGTGGCAGAGGAGTTAGATGCCCACCCTGTAACCGGACGGTTGCAGGTTCAAGCCCCATCTGTCACAGTTGATGTTTCCTTCACACCTCGTGATTTTTATCTTGAGAGGCGCTATATAAAAGATTTCTTTCTTTCTTTCTTTCTTTCTTTCTTTCTTTCTCTTTCTTTCTTTCTTTCTTTCTTTCTTTCTTTCTTTCTTTCTTTCTTTCTTTCTTTCTTTCTTTCTTTTCCTTGAGCAAGATAGTTAACACCCATTGCAAGTGGTTGTCGGAGGGACTAGTGGTGCCTGTCCACAGTTCGCCCCAAGGCAGCTGTAGCTACAGTGTAGTTTATCACCACCAGAGTGTGAATGTGTGTGTGTGTGTGTGTTGGTGGTTGACTGTTTTGTAAAGTGCTTTGGAGGGTTGTAAAAACTTAGAGGCTATGTCGAACACAGAGTGACGGAGGAGGTCTGGAGGAAGCAGCTCTGTCACACACAGGGTTAGGGGTCTGAATCTGCGCTCTTTGACTGGAGTCAACGGGTCGAGGTGTACTCGGGTTTGATGGTGTGTTGCATGTTACGTTGTTATGATAATATTATCAGAAGACCGCTCCTGCGGTCTTGTCACTTCTAGAAGACAAGTGTCCAACTGGTACAGCTCGATTAGAAGCAGTCCGCCTTAGTCAGCCAGACTAACGTGTTTACATGCATTTAAAAAATAAAAATAAAACATTAATTCTGTTTAGAGCAAAAAGCACCATACTTAATCGGTATATCCTTTTTTTTATTTATTAATATTTTTTGTACACTGTACCTTCAAAATATTCTTTAAAATCACACTCAGCTCCCTGAGGAGGGGTTCAGTTTAGAAACTCTGCTCAGTTTTATGGAAATAGAACTACAAATCCTCATGTCGGAAAAGTACTGAGTGAAATGTTTTTCTTTTCTATTAAAGTTTCATCTTTTTAATTGCAGGATCGCGTTTATTGGACTGACGTAGAAGACGAAGCGATCTACAGCGCAAACCGTCTGACGGGGCATGACGTGGCGAAGGTAGCGGAAGACCTTAACAACCCGCTGGACCTCGTTGTGTTTCATGAACAGAGGCAGCCTAAAGGTAAGCTCAAAGACTCAGTAATCCTGATCGGTACTAGGGATGCACCGATATGAAATGTTTGGGCCGATACCGATATGCGATGTTGAGATCACTGTTATGGCCGATAACCGATATTTGCTGACTTCTAAAAGCAGCAGATTTTGTATAGAATGAAAGTTATTAAGGCTGAATTTACGTTATCGTGTACACGCAACACACACATTTACACCTCTGAGATGATTACAATCACTGTCACATGACTAAACAAATACACATCACCCCTCACCCTCTGAAACAGATAATTGGAAACAAGATGGAAAAAATATCAGTTGTTAATATCGGCCCAGTTTTATTTATCAGACCGATACCGATATGTTAAAAAAGGACTAACATCGGCCGATACCGATATTGTGCATCCCTAATCTGTAGTGATCACTTTGGTGAGTGTTGGTCTGCAGGATTCATCCACATCACTCAAACAACAAAGGGATTCTTTCAGCATCACAAGAAAAACCCTGAATAATCTGCATTTAAGCAGAAGGATTACCTCAGTAAAACTGTCTGAAACAATAAACAAGTCTCTGATGAGCATGATTAGGTTCTCAGTTGTGTTGAGAATGTCAAGCGATGCAATTTCTTTTCCGCTTTTTCAAGTTGTGTGTCTGCTTGTTAATTCAGCCATGGTGTGTATTATTGTATTGTGTTTGACGGTGTGTGCCAGCAGTGTGTTTGTGTGTTTTGTCATAATTTGTTTTCTCTCTTAACTGGGTGCTCAAAGCTGCCTGTGTGCCTGTTGGGAGCTAATTGCTCTCTTTCATTATTAATTCAAGAGTTTTACTCAAAAACTTGAGTAAATTTGAACATGTTGGCTTTGAAGTCTCAACCAAAGGAAGACAAGAAGCAACCGGGCCTTGAACAGGTCAAACGGTGTCCAAGTGACCCTAGCTGTCCTCCACTTTCCATCTGATCTGTTTGGAAGAGGTTCCCCACTAGAACCCAAAACCTAAATAAGGCTGTTGGTGAAAGGGTCATTAATCGTACAAATCTAATTCTAGCAAATTATATTTTGAACCCTCTGGGTTCGTTGGGGACATTTTTGTCCCTTTGGGTAGTTTTAAAAATAAAGCAATGGAACACTATGAAATAAACACTGTACCTTGAAATGCCAGTTTGATTACTCAATAACACAAAAATGTGTTATTTCTACAAAAATATATATATATTTTGTGCCTGTGGCCTTTATTACAAATCAGTCTTGGTTATGTTATGAAATGCATTCATAGTTTTTGCATAGTAACGGATTTAAAGGTGTTCATTCTTGTTTAATCAATACATTTGCAGTGGTCTCTAGGAGGAATGAATGCCTTGGAAGTACTCTGGAGGGAAACACTGGTGCACCATTTTCAGGAACTAGAAGTGAGTCACATCAGAGCTGAGCTTCTGACGGCAGGATTTGGAGTCTTATTTCCTGATATTTGGACATCCCGCCTCTGATTAGCCAACAACAATGTGACTTTTCTACTGACTCTGTTTGCTACGTTGATGTCTTATCTCCACAAATAACACAAGCCTGGAGGAATTCTTCTTTTTTCAGTTTGTTCTGTGCAATCCATCAAACTCCATTGTTTGTTTATTTTCGAAACACAGAGTATTGATTTACTTTTACCTGTTTTAGAGGACAAATTTTGGCTAACATTGTAGCCATCCTCAGCACCGCCTGTGTCGGTGGCGTCACTTCCTTCTCCGTTAATCTGCGGGCAGCAGAGGAAGATGTCGCCCTCTGCTACCCGCGCTTTCCTCACCGATGACACTGTCCCATGCGTAACCCAACGTGTAAACTCCATCGTCTCTGTTCATGGTCCTGAGTCCACGTCTGCTTTTTTCTGTCGCTTCCTTAATCCATCTTTTGTATTTTAGTTGTTCTGCGTTTATGATCCGTGTACTGTCCTAGTCCATTATATGAGTTTCCCTTGTGTCTGTTATGGACTGTCCGGATGGTAAACACACAACAACAAAAATACAAAAGATGGATTAAGGGAGCGTTATAAATAAGGACATGTGGACACACAACCATGAACAGAGACGATGGAGTTCACACATGGGATCACACACACACACACACACACACACACACACACACACACACACACACACACACACACACACACACACACACACACACACAGTGTCATTGGCGAGGAGTGAGCGGGCAGCAGAGGGTGACACCGTTGCCTTAGACTCCTGGGGTATCCAAAGGTTGTAGTCCTTTTAGAATACGACTCAGCTGGTCAAAGGGATACACTCTGGGTGTCTGCTGGCAGCTCACGGGTTGTTTTGCGTCTGATGAAGTCGTTGCAGGTTAAAACAAATAATGGCTGTTTTGTTTTGAAAAAGGGTGGTTCTATGCCACTAAAAGTGCTCTATTGTCAGATCTGGGTCGATCTCACAAGAGGTGTTCATTTAGCATTTCTAGGCTGGAACTCGATAATAGAGGAAGTATGTTAGACGAATCAGATTCAGAGTGCGCTGTAGTTTTTTAGCTGTAGTAAAAAAAAAAGGCGTCTGGCAACGGCGCAAACATCTTTTATTCTTTTAGAAGAAATGCTTTTAGCGCTTCTACTTGTTGTGGTTTTAAAGACATGCAAGTCATTTAGAACAGAGGAAAGAGCCGCAGCGAACTCCCCCGCTGTCTTTGTTGTTTATGAGAAACAGAACGTCGTCGTGCGTGACGTCTGCGACGCTGTCGTTTTTTAGCTCTAGTCAAAAATGGCGTCTGGCGACGGCACAAACATCTTTCTTTAGAAACAAGGCTTTTCGCGCTTCTACTTGTTGTTTTAAAGACGTGTCCAAGTCATTTAGACCAGAGTAAAGAGTCGCAGCAAACACTGCTTCAGTCGCCATGTTCGACAAACTCGGCGTTATGGTGTGTGACGTACCCTACTCAGCGCTGATTGGCTTGGTTATAATTCTCAGGGGGTGGGGTTATATGAATAGGAGAGTTCCCAGACCCTTTCTCTGTGCAGAATGAAACAGAGGAGGAGTCTGGCGGGCCAGGCTAAGCTAAAATGACTGATAATAAAATCATCAGTAAATCCTCAAGTAGATTTGTTTGGTGTATTTAAGATCTGAAATAATGCATTTGAACAATAAACAATTATTTTGATTCTTTATTACTATCAAGCAATCAAGTCTTATTAAATTCACTGTAGATAAAACATTCATTGTTTTATGATTGTAATTCATCTGTAAAGTGGAAAGAAATCATTGCATAAAAGAAAATGATTCTTTTATTAAGGTTAAGAAGTTCGGTCTTCTGAAGGAGACTTGTGAACTGCAGCACAAGATAAACAGGAGAGGGATTTTGTTATGATGCCTCCCCCAGCGGGTCGAGGCGAGAGATGGTTATAAACAGCGAGTTTGTTTTGGTTTAGAGAAGCACGCAGGTCCTCGGGCAAAGTGTAGATGTCTGTGGACACAGGCATTGTGTTAATATTACTAACAAGCTTGACGGAACAAATGCCAGAAATTCCCGCATCCCCATGCTGCTACGGCGCGTTCATAAGGCACACCACGGCGGCAGTAATACACGGATTTGCCGGCATGGTGCGTCTTCTAAAATATGCTTATGTCACCTTATTGGAAATTTCTCGGGACTCCTATAGAGGAAACACAGCTTAACATAGCAGAGTGCTGTACAAAATGCCAGCTCACTCACTCACTCACTCACTCACTCACCTACTCACTCACTCACTCACTCACTCACTCACTCACTCACTCACTCACAGAACCACTAATTGCTCAACAGACCTGTGGGAAGCCACATAGACACGCTGCACACGGAGCTACCAATTGCCCCACCATGCAGCTCGTCACTGACTTCTGTGCAATCCCATTTCAATTCAGTTGAAGGCAAACAGATCCCAACTCAGTTTAGTACATTCCTGTTTAATCTTGAAATTCAAATACTTTATTGCTCAACTTCAAACACATTGATTTAATCCACTAGATTATGACATGCATACATTTTTCAGGGACCGGTGGCGCCTATGCTTGGAAAATCTCGCCTCTGGCGGCATGCCCCAGGGCAGCTGTGGCTACAATGTAGCTCATCGCCACCAGTGTGTTATTGTGTGTGTGAATGGATGAATGATACACTGTAGTGTAAAGCGCTTTGGAGCCCTCTGACTCAGAAAAACGCTACACAAGTACGGGTCATTTGTCATTCATCATATTTTTGTTCGACCTTTATATAACCAGGCACACACATTAACTGTGGCCTTGAAAAAAGCAGTGCCTTTTGAGGGAGAAGCGAAGAGGACTATACCATAAAACAGTTTAAAGCAGCAAAAATAAAAAATGTACCTTTTTTTTCTTGTCTCCCTGAAAGCGGTGATGTAATTTTTTTCTTAACCTGATCGGCAAGTGATCGTAATAAAAAAGGAAACAACAATAATCTACCGTTCTCTAAACAGCTGGGACATATCTTCTGAAGCTGAGGTGGTTTTTAACTACCAAACGTTTCCTTGAAACAAGATCGTCTCTGGAGCTGACGGATGTTTACTGCTGGCAAAAGACTCCATTCCTCATGGAAGCTACCCGTAACCCTTTAATGTTCTGCGAGTGACTAACTTCTCTTCTTGGTCAGGTGAATCTGTGACATTTGTGATGCATGAAGACTTGAGTAGATATTTTTTTCCCCATCAGCTTGATTCTGTATGTTTTACGTGAATCCTTTTTTCTTGTTTCTCTCTTTCCAAATCCTGTTCCAATTTAATTTCTTCCATTTCCACATCACTTTTTAATCTTTTTTTAGTTTTACTTACATTTTCACCAGTTTCAACCTTGGCACGGCATCGTTTTCTTCTTTAATTACATCATCTAATAAACTTTCTTTTGTCAGAAGTTTCTTCTTCCTAAGCAGTTTGTAATCAGACGAGCTTTCTCAGCTGACATAAAAATGCATCCTTATGAATCCCAGAGTGAACAGCCTCCTGCTGAACATCATAACTCATCAGAAGGCA